GAGTCAAAGCACTGTCAAAGTAAATTTTTATTTTCCTCCTAAAATCTAGTTTACGTAGGTTTCTCACCATACAGTGGGTTAACGTACTATCTAGGTGAAAAGAAGAAAATTTTGGGAATAAATGAAGGAATTGTGTGTTTACAATACTAACTTGTCCTTAGAAAATGTAAGGAACAATGTGCCACATAATTTGAACATTATAATGTAGAGCAAATGGCTACTAAAAATCTAGTCTGTATGGAAATAAAATATTCTGAAACGTCTAGCAAGTTAATGTAGAGCATTTAGCCCCACCAAGAATATAATTACATATGGATGGGAAACCATCAATATTCAGGACTTTTCAGACTGTCCCAAAAGCCACAGTCTGATCTTCAGGGAATTATACGATAGTCTCTTACTCAGCTATTTTGGTCAGAATTCTAGAATGCTGGCTAGTGAAGCACCAAGAGAACTGACTTTTTGCATATTACCCTATGCAGAGAAGACATCATATTCTCTAGTAAGATGAAGCTGATTTTTTTGATTTATGAGGATATTACATGATCCTGGGGGAAACTTTCTTAGGTAACTAATATTTAGCAGTTATGCCTTGAGCAAAATCAGTACTGGACTGGGATGGCACAATTGGCCTTGAAGATTGTTTCCTAGTAATGAAGTGAATGGAATTGTTATCCAGATGAACACTGAGTTTCAAGATCTCTGTAGCCAGTGCAGAACTACCAATATGTTTACCTTCTTTGCACTTATCCATTTTTGTTAATGGTACTAGCTTAACCTTGGAGAAAATACATAAGCTAAGTGGAAAAAAAATCACTGGTGGACTCAGTGCTTCTTTTCTGTCATACTTTTACCCCATAACCTAACTGAAAGACCTGGGGACTTGACAGTATAGACGTGTTTCTATCTGATCTACAGTTCCTGCTGCTGAAAACATACATCATTGAAAGTATTTTGAGACACAACTCCAAAGAATTGACAATCATAATATTGAACACCTTTCCTAGAAAAGAAGCAGAGATCACAAGGATGTGAGTTTACATCCATGTAACCACTAACTTGCTATGTTCCACCTGCCTCACCAATCACATTGTTACCATGCAGATATGTTGAACTGTTCCCAACATATTTACAGACACCTTCCTCTATGAAAGTAGCCTGCTGTTCACAAAGTATGACAATCCATATGTATTCTCTATACAGAGAAAATTCCATCTTGGTTTACTGTGAATTCAGAACACAATACATCTTGCTTCTTCCTAATGGCACTCAAGGGAACACAGTGGTATTTCCACACATTTCTTTTTAAACTATGACTTCCATGTCCAAAAGATTTTGTACTGTGTCCTTAATGGTCAGACTCTTAAAAATAATCTCTGGTGACTTGAGAGTTGAATAAATTGCCCATGGCTGTGTTTCTAAAAATTCCTGAGTGAATCCTTTTGTTAATTATCTCCAGTACGCACTTGTCCAGTGTTAACCTCCTCACAGGCTTTTATGTTAATGACGCTTTGTCAGCTTGAAAGGATGAATTAGCTTGATAAGGCTCCTCCAAACAAAGCAAAAGGGACTCTAAGTTAAGAAGTGGAAGAATTTTGAGAGTGAAAGCCTGGCCTGATCTCAAGTACCTGGAAACTGAATTTACTGTCTTGACCAGTAGAATTACAGAATTGTTTTTAAAAAATCCTGTACAGTGGTAAAAAGTTTCTTTTTGGTAACAGTATAGATTCAAGGCCTTACTAAAGTAAAAATTATTCCTTCAAAGGCAGCTTAATAGATTTTTGAGGATGTAACTGCTCTCTCCAATTGTGTTCTCCTGGATTGTGTGCAATTTGGGTTTGTCAGATACAGACATGTCTCTGTAAAAATTGTAGAGAAAACAGGCACTTTCCCATGAAAATAAATAAAAAATAAATCTGAAGAACTCAAATGTATATACTTATATATATTTTAGAGAAATCACTGCAAAAATACTGATGAGGGGCTTTTGAACAACAGCTTGTCTACATGGGGAAATTTACTGGCAGAACTATACCAGTATACTTATACTGCTATACTTATTCTGGTATACAGTGTAGTTTACACCACTGCAGTTATAGTGGTTTATCTTCTACCACTTTCAAAGTGACAAAGTAAACTGGGGCTGTGTCTACACTGCCACTTTCAGCGCTAAAATGTTTTGTCATTCAGGGGTGTGAAATTCCCTCCCTCCCTCCCCCCGAGCGACAAAAGTTTTAGCACTGAAAAGTGCCAGGACAGACAGCGCTTTATCACTGGGAGCCACGCTCCCAGTGATAAAGCTACCACTGCTTGTTTGGGGTGTTGGGTTTTTTTAAAATCGCTGGGGGAGAGCTCTCCTGGCCATAAAACGTGTCTATACTGCCTACATCAGAGCGCTGCCATGACGCGCTGTAACATGGGCAGCATAGACATACCCTAGAAAAAGGCACTCTTATTCCAGAATAAGCACGTCCACCTGGGGAGTTATACAGGTATAATTATACCAGCATAGTTCTGTCAGTAAATTTCCCCATGTAGACAAGCATGCAGTATATATGGTACTAGTTTCTGTGGACCTGTGAATGTCAGTGAGCATCTAGCATCTGCAGCAATTCTGCTACTGCACATTTTTAAGGTTTACTGAAGACCACTACAGGCCAGGAACACAGACTTTTTAAAGTCAGCAGAAGCAAGAAAGTGTGGGGACTGTACTCCCTAAGTCAACAATTCTTCAAAAAAATTTTGACTGAAAAAAAAAAAATCAGCACATACATAGCATTCTGCATCTGAGGAGAAATATAATTTTTAACTCTTTATGTGAAGCAGAGTTAATTTCTGAACTCAAGAAACTGCAACTTTCTATTTCAAAATTACATCTGTGACTGCAAACAGTTGGAACTGATGATATGCTGCTGATAAATTCCCTGTTCTTCTATAAAGTCTCTAGCTCCCATAATTCATACAGGAGACTCCTGACAGATGAGGAGTGATGAAACATTTTTTTAAAGTTACAAAACAAAACTTATTTACAGTACATAAAACTAGAAGAACAAATAGAGCTTATTGATGAGTGCTGACAGCATACTAAACTCTGAACAAATACGCAGGTAGATAATCTGCTCCCAGGAGATTACAGACAACACAGTTCAGACCCATATGATATACAGTGGATGACGTAAGGTCGAAGAGAAGAATTCTTGCAGAAGTCATCCTTCCAAAATTTTGTGAAAAAAGTATGCTTTAAGGAAAGATTTCTGGAGGAGGAAGAGGATGTTTGCCAGACATGAGGAATGCTGTTCAAAGAATAAGGAACAGAATGAAAGAGGGCATGAAGATGAGAGGAGAAAGATAAGGAGTCTCTTAAGGAGGAGGAGTACAAATAAGACTTGATACTATACATAGGTGGGGTGAAGTTTTGTAGGGTCTTGGAAGGTGAAGAAGAAGCAGCAGCAGCAGATTTGAATTTGAAGCTGATGGTAATCGGATGCCAGCAAAAAAGCTAGACGTGGCAAACTATGACCAAGACAGAGAGGAAGATTTTCACACTGGGGATTAAGGAGGACAGATTTTAGAGAGGCTTCAAAACAGCCACCAACAGGATTTAAAAACAGTAGTAGCACAGGAAGAAGGAATGATAGGGGATGAAGATATCACAGAGGCTGAGTGCCTCACTCATGGGTGGATAATGGAATTGTACATGGGGACAGAAAAGGGGAAGGTCAAAAGAATCTTTGGGAGAAATTCAGTTTTTGTCAGGTGGAACTTGGGATAATGGTTGGACATTCAGCAGAAGACGTCTGAAGGAGTCAGGCATGTAAGACCAGCATCATTGTAATGATAGCTGAAGCAAAAGGAATGGATAAAGTCACTCAGCAACAGAGGAGGAAAAGGAAAGAATCAAAACTAGAAACTCAAGAAATATCACTGAAAAAGGGAAAGAAGCAGAGATGCAGAAGAAGCTGCTGGAAAAGGTGAAAACCAAGAGAGCACAAAGACATAAAAAGCTCAGGAAAAAAGCAAATGGAGCAGAAGGAAATAATTATCTTATTCAAAAACAATGGCTCAGAAGGACAAGTACAGAAAAGAGGATCTCAGACATATCCAGAAGAGACTGATGGTTGTTGGTGTCAGTGGTTTCAGTGGAGTGTACAGAAGCCAGATTGCAACAGATCCATTCAAGCATTAGAGGAGAGAAAGTTGAGGCAGCACTTCAAGAAGCTTGGAGGTGAAGTGCAACTGCTCCCCTGTTGTAGAAAGAAAACCTAATGAAATCCTTGGCACCAATCCCCTACCCTGGCAATGAAGTCATCAGAAAACTGATTGGGTCTTCATCTGTGCAGGCTGAATATCGCATAACCCTATTGTCTGGAACAATATGGAAGGTAGCTAGAGGAAATAAAATTCACAGAAAAATGTAAGCATTCTGTCAGTAAATATATATGTATCAAGAAACAGACTCGAATGCAATACCCATACTACAGCATTACAATTTATAAAGATCCACAGGTTATAACTCATGTGACCACAATATATGACAGGAAAGTGTAGGTGTTATAACACCTGGGCACAGCAGAGCATCATTAAGGTTGCTCTAGTAACCCTTAATTCAATTTCCTTGGCTTTAATTTCAATCTTAATGTCAGTTGTTTCTTTTTGTGTGTCAACCGTGATGAAAGGACATACTGATATGGAAGAATTTCTGATTTTTTCAGCTGTAACTTGATCAATTACACTTGTAATTTTTAAGGGAATTTCTCTTTATATTTACACAATAAAATATAGGTATACTATTAATAAATTAATAATTTAGACTTATCAAGTATGTGTTTATAAAGTTCATAAAACCTTTAGTGCATGAGTTGCATACTAAAATGTTTGCAGAATTTTTAATTTGCAGGGCATGTTCCTCTTGGAAACGTACATTTTTAATGCTATAGCACTCTACACACACACTCAGTAGCTTAAGGTTTTGAAGGCAAAACACAAAATAAAATTCTTACCTCCAGCTACTAGTCCAGACTCCCCTAACTGAATAGCTACCCCAAAACCACCAAGCTTTACAGGTGCTGAATTCTCCTTTGAAGCAAGTAGCACGCAGTGTGGCTGAAAAGAGAAAACCCAGCAGACATGATTATACCAAAAAAAATCCAACCTGCTTGAAGAACTGAAAATATCTTTGTAATATATCAAAAAGAAGCTTAAGATTTTTTCTGTCAAATGGAGTCCACTTTGGCATCTTTTTACTTCTTCATTTCAAACTTTTATTTTGGTACAGCATAAGCACCTCACCCCATGCTGGTTTCCCTCTGGTCTTGCCTTAACACAGCAAGGCCTCATCAGGGCTAGTCAGTACTCACGGAGAACACAGCCTGAAGTCACGACAATATGAAGAATAAGAATGTCATGAAAGGCTGCCAACTTTTCCAGCAGGATGTGGATCCAGTTCTCCAGCAGAAACATCCTGTCTCTGTGAGACCTTATGTTTCACATAAACAACATACAACCTTCTTTTGGAGCCCAAGCCCATCCCAACATAACCAGCACAAATTTCAACCTGCAAAAGGGAAGCAAGCTGCCTGTATGAGATATCTAGGAAATAGTGACCTTGAGGAAAAAATAAAAAACAACTCAGGTGTTGATATGGATTCCCTGTATGGCATTTGTGCTTCTACTCTTCCACAATTCATAGCAACAATAATACTGAGATGGAAAATACAGGAATTAATAGTATTATGCAACTATTTTGGGGCAGGAGGTTAGGGAATCTTTGTGTATCAATGCAAAATTAATTATATATATATGCTGTTGATTAAAAAAATTAATCGCAATTAATCTCAGTTTAATGACTGTTAAACAATAGAATACTAATTGAAATGTATTAGTTTTGGATTTTTTCTACATTTTCATATATAACAAAATAGTATTTTTCAATTCACCTCACACAAGTACTGTAATGCAATCTCTTTGTCGTGAAAGTGCAAATTACAAATGTAGATTTTTTTTTGTTACATACCTGCACTCAAAAACGAAACAACGTAAAACTTCAGAGCCTACAAGTCCACTCAGTCCTACTGCTTGTTCAGCCAATCGCTAAGACAAACAAGTTTGTTTACATTTACAGGAGATAATGCTGCCCTCTTCTTATTTACAATATCACCAGAAAGTGAGAACAGGCATTTGCATGGCACTTTTGTAGCCGGCACTGCAAGGTATTTACGTGTCAGATATGCTGAACATTCGTATGCCCCTTCATGCTTTAGTAATTCTAAATCTGTAAGTTCAAGTTTCATGATAAAGAGATTGCACTATAATACTTGTATTAGGTGAATTGAAAAATACTATTTCTTTTGTTTTTTTACAGTGCAAATACTTGTAATCAAAAATAAATATAAAGTGAGCACTGTACATTTTGTAGTCTCTATTTTAATTGAAATAAATATATTTGAAAATGTAGAAAACATCAAAAAATATGTAAATAAATGGTATTCTATTATTGTTTAACAGTGCTAATTTTTTTAATTTCTTGACAGCCCATACACACACACACATATATAACCTGCTCTGGAACAGCAGCCAGTATTTAATATATCTAGCTAAGTTTATTCCTGGGGAATTCTGTGCCACTGAGCAATGCAGAGTTTGCACAGAATTAATGTTCTGCGCAGAATTTTCTCCCCCTGCCACAGAAATGGGCTGCAGAGCTGCTGGCCGCCACTAGGGAGCCACTGGATCCATCAGAGCCCAGCTCCCCAACAGAAGAAACAGCTGGTGGGAGGAAGCTGGAGAGTTCCTGGAAGCTGCAGTTCCCCGCCCTGAAGGAAGGAGGCAGCATGCAGGAAACTCTATACAAGCCTGGAACCCAGCATTAGGCTGTTTCTCCCTCAGGATCCCTGGGCTTTGAGAGGGTAGTGAATGCGTGATGGGCTGGGGGGCAGCCCTGCAGTGGAGCTCTGGAGGGTAAGAGGTGCAGGTGTCTGGCCCCCTGCTTGAGCTCTGGGAGGGAGGGGGCAGAGAAACATGAACTGGTTTGTTATGGAGGTTTCTTTAACTCTCTATATCTGGGGGAACTTTTGTGTGTCTGTATTGTTACAAACATAGTTGCTGACAGGTATTTTGAAATAAATTACCTAAATAATTGAAACTGACATGATTCTATGGTGTTATTTTGACAAATGAAATATGCAGAATTTTAAAATATTGTGTGCAGAATTTTTAATTGTTTGGTTCAGAATTCCCCCAGGATTATAAATTGCTCCACATGCACAATGAACCCTTGGAGCATTTTTTGCGTCTCCTCACAACTGTCAAATCAATCATATTAAGGTTAGCATGTTTAACTGGATCAATGTCAAAACTACATATTGCTTTTTGGAGAATAATTTACTGCAGAAATTGAAAAACTAAAAGCTACTGATGAGCAACATCTGTATCCCTCCCCAGCCCCTTGGGTGATTCTGGGGTTTCCAGGAATGTATTGCCATATGTACTAGGACTTGCACTCTAGTACCAAACTTCTGGAAAAGGTTGGAACTTGTATAATAAATAACTGACAGGTTTAATTAACGTTAGTGCCACTGCCATTAATCTGCTTAAACCTCTGGCACACATGGAACAGATTTATTGAATAAGAGGACAGTTTGTTACACAGTCATTTCTATTGCTCCAGCTGCATTTTAATAAACTAACTATGGAGTATTTATCAGTCATCATATACGGTTAAAAAGAACTTGGCCTCTTGAATCTGGAAGAGTTGCTACACAACCTCCCAATATGTAAGGCTGAACACACTACTACTTTGGCCAAAAACACATAAGGACTAATTACATGGACATTATTTTATATTGGAGGCTCTCTTTGATGAAGCTCAACAATTTCTACTACAATAAAATATTCTGTTTAATTCAGGATATTAAAAGAAAAACACATGGTAGAAAACACCTTCTTCCATATCCCAGTCAACAATACTTCTCCAAGGAGTATCACCCTACATTTCCCAATCCCTTATCCCTGGGATGTGTTTCTATATCAGTATATGGTTTAGTTCTGTTAAGAAATAGTATAAACTATGACAGGTTTCAGGGTAGCAGCCGTGTTAGTCTGTATCCTCAAAAAGAACAGGAGTACTTGTGGCACCTTAGAAACTAACAAATGCATCCGAAGAAGTGGGTTGTAGCCCACGAAAGCTTATGCTCTAATAAAATTGTTAGTCTCTAAGGTGCCACAAGTACTCCTGTTCTTTTTGAGTATAAACTATATTACAGCTTATTCACAACAACCTTCCTGTGCAACTAAAAAAAACCATTAAACCAAATGAGGCTCTATGCTACCTTTGTGGTTTCCCAGTTCTGGAATCAGTGAAGGCCACAAAACATTTTAGAGCATCTTCAGGGATGTTCTAAGTTGTGCCTGGCTGCCCATGGTCCCAAGAGGGCTGCTTTAGGAGCTGGGGATTGCTGGAGTGCAATGATACTGCAGACATGCCCTCTTATCCCTGGCTACAAAAACCACGTGTTGGAAGAATCTCCAGATAGCTTGTTAAATGACCATTTAAGCTTTTGGCATTGGAGCAGCAAAAAGGAGCCATATTGGCACAGAACCTGAAGCACACACTCAAAATTCCTATGAACTGTTTTGTATAAAACTCAAACTCTTAAGAAAAAAATAGTAGCCCCGATAAGAAGATATAGCTTCCTAATTAGCCTAATTGAAAGCTGAAGATTCCAGAGGCAGCTCTTGACTCCCTCCCAAATCAAATTATGGATGTGGTATTGTAGTTTTTGATTATCAGAATTTTGGAGGCAGATACATCCAAGCCAACAGCATCTTAATTATTTTTCCAAAAGGAAACCATCAAAAGTTTCTAGACAAAAGACAAAATGTCCACTTACTCTTGTATTGAGCCTTGGACAAAACAATATATACAGAAAAACTGACTAAGATTCAGCAAAAAACAAAACTACTATTTTAAACCGAGACTCAATTTTATAAGCTGTAAAAACCTTTAAAAAAAAAAATATCTTTGCCAGAAACATCACCACAGCAACACGGGAAGTTTATCTAGCTGACTGGGCTGATTCTAATCACAGAGAAGCTTTTTCTATAGCTTTCTAATAAGACATGCACATTATCTTCCTCTTTCCTTTTACAGTGTTTTAGAAAACAGTCAGCAGAAGAGGTCCGTAAGTAATCAGAATGTGAGTATTTCGCTTTTAATTAAAGATATGCTAAATCAAATTTCAGATGAAATATAGGATTATAAAGGTACTACTGACCATTCAGGAACTTTACACATTTAGTTACAAGCCTCAAAATTTAAGTAAATTATGTCTGATTTGATATCTGTGATAGCATTTGTCTTGGCAGATGAAAAGATTGCAATACTTATATAACTTAATACTCACTTCTCTATTTTGTTTAAAAACTAAACTATATAAATCATAGTATCAAGGTTCCTCCCTCCCCATTAACAGAGCTTAAATTAGCAAAGTGAAAGATGGTCTTGAAAAGTACAATTGCAATAAACATGCTCTCTATTAGATCAAACCTACTTCTTTTACAATAGTTTGTGGCCTAAGTAATGCAGTATGACAATATTGTAGACATATAATAAGATGATGATCTGTATAAGATTATTTACATAATGTGAAGTCATTTTCAGTACTTACTATTGTCACAAGAACAGCCAACATGGTATACAAAAATATTTTAGATCTTCCATTCAATTATTCTGAATCTTTCAAGTGTACATATTTATGCTTGTTATTAGCTCTTAGCAATATTCAGATTTTTTCTTCTGTATTATATTGTTGCCATCTGCACTGTTAAAATTGTATCCCATACTCAATTACACTCTACATTTTAAAGAGTTAATACATAGATGAAAGTTTACTGTAAGATGGAATTTGGGATACTTCCCCCACCCCAAACCGTTACCCCCCAAAATCTGTTGTTCTGTTAGAGTGATAAGAGTTCAAACAAGTGTAAAACTGTGAGTTTATCAAAACCAAAGATCTGGCTTAAAAAAACAAACTGTAAACTCAATGAAGCTGTTATTTACTTTGTAACCCAGTATTTTAATTTCCATATTTTGACAGATGCTCTTA